GGGGCTTACCTGGGGACACTCACTATGATTACCGGGGACAGATGTGCCGCTCACAGGGCTTACCTGCGACAGACATGCCGCCTGCTCACTATGATTACATGGGGACAGACGTGTTGCCCACTCACAGGGCTTACCTGAGGTCAGATGTGCCGCCTGCTCACGGGGCTCACCCGGGAATCAATTTCCACTCCTGCACTTGGTTAGTTCTTGTTTATTTGTGTCTCCCACTATTTCAAGCCTTTGCTATTATCAGGAAAATGCAGGGTGCTGGCTGTTCAGTGATGAGCTGAGAGAAAGCGGTCTTTGACAGAGCTGGTGGTTCGGGAAGAATCCCTTGGGCTGAAGCAGAGTATAAATGAGAAGCTAAATGTGTGGAAAGCGGATGCAGGGGAGGAGGGTGAGCACATGAGAAGGACACTGAGTCTTCCAGACAGAGGCACCTCCAGAGGCCAGGGAGGAGCATGGGCATGGCTTGTCATGGGACATGTACGGGGGCCAGGGGCTGGTGCAGGAGTGACAGGAAGCAGCTTGCACTGGCATATGGGGGCAGGCAGATGGGAATGTGGATGGGGAGTTAGTGTTTTCTTCTAAATGCTGTGGAAGATACTGACATGTTTTAAACAGTACAGGTAGAAAGCAGCAAGTGGTTTCAAAAATATCCAAAACGAAACAACATATAGAATTTCCTGATGGGTTTGACTTGCAGACAGAGTGGAAGAAAGAAGCAGCATGATGGCATCTGTCCTTTTTGCTTTTTGAGCAGTTGGTTGAATATTGATAACCATTTTCTGTCACCAAGGAGACTCAGGGAGGGCAGGTGGGTGGGGTGAGGGCGCAGGGCTTGTGAAGCTGGGAGGCCTGTGAGATGCCCAAGTAGCATTGTCAACTTTGTGCAAATGACAGGCAGAGAAAAGTCCTGGACTAAAGATACAATGTGGGAGTAGTTAGCACACAGATAATGTTCAGAACCTGGAAATGAATGACCGCACCTGGGAAGAAAAGGCAGGAAAAAAGAGGAGAGGCCCTTAAAGGTCCCAGCAAAGGGAGCCGAGGTGTGTGTGGTGAGCGGGAGGATGGCCAGAAGAAAACTTCCCGTTACAGCAGCTGAGATGAGGTCAGAGCCCAGCCCATTGGTGGTGCAACGTGGAGGTCTTTGGAGTCATTTACTAAAACGTTGCTAGGAGCAGTGGCTGTACAAGCCAGATCAGAGCACACCAGAGGGTAAATGGAGATGAGACACAACACTCCGCTGCGTGGACTCAGAAATCCCTGCAAAGGGAAGCGGCGAACGCAGCAGGACGTAAACTAAGACGTGGAAACTCATTCCCTGAAGTCCTTTCAGAATCCTTCCTGCTTCTCTTTACGTACTGCCTACATTTCTGAAAATTCTAGTGTAAAACAAACATGTATCTATTAGATTATGTCCGTTTTGCTTTTATTAAATAAAAAATAGTTGGTAGAGAAGAGCAAAGCTAAGAAATGAAATGATGTGTAAGGATCCCAGCATGGCCACCGAAGAGCGATGTGCCTGAGTGTAAATGCACCACACGCGTCCGGGCTGCGGTCAGTCCGTGTGCCATGGCCTCTTACAACGAGGTCATCGTTCTAACCCACCATCGGTAGGACACAGGCTTCTGTTATCTTATGGTGGGCAAAAGTGAGTTCCCACTGTTACTGGCTTCCTTCTGCTGGTGCACATCAGGTGTGGTGATGGCTTCTTTGGTTCAGGGATGATGCCTGTGGCTAGAGGCGGGGGTGAAGATCATGGGTTCACATTGCACAGATTAAAGCAGAGACTGTCTTTATTGTTCAGAAGAGCCTACAGTTAATGGGCCACAAACAGATCATCTTCTGGACTCCGGAGCAGAGCCATCAGTTGAGTCTTCTAGACAGGGGCACTGACTTTGCAGTAACTGATTATTAGGGTCCTATGAGTTCTGTGGTTGCTCCAGGAATTCAGTGAATCTCATTTCGTCGGGAAGAACCAAATTGCAGTTCTTAACTGGGTAAAATTCCAGCTCTCCAGTTCTCTATTAGATTCATTACGTGCTCACTGTGAGTAGCTGTGCGTCCTTGGGAAACTGACTCAGAAAGATATTACAGAAAGGGCCATTTGTGATAAAGGTGAACACATGGTGTAGGGGTCATTGGACTTGAAGGTGAAATTTCCAGCATCTTTGATATTCATTTTGGTTCTGAGAGAGGTAGGGAAACTGCCTAGAAATGGTCCATTTACGGCCATATATGTGAATAGAATTTAACATTTTGGTTGGTTAAATATGTGATTGTGAAACAGGGCTATGATGAGTTCATATAAGGGGAAAATGGCCTATAAGGAAGGTGGCCATATAATTTATTATCCAAATGAGGGTCATGAGAGAGGGAAGCGAGGTGCTGTTCGCATTTATGTCGAGACAGATGAAAACATGCACGTTGAGGCTGAGGGAAACCTGGGTGTACTGTCGTCCTATGGGGGCTTCTCGTTTGCCAGGAACATTTTGGTGGTCATTTTTCCTTACATAACAAGGATAGACCAGGAGCCTGCCCTCTTGGTAGATCAGCTAAACTTGTCCTCAAGATTTTGCTTCCAAGATGAACATGGGTGTAGCCTTCAGGAGTTTCTATCCAGCATCACGATTGGAAACCTGAATTTTTAGGGATTCCGCTGTCTTGTTACATTCCTGTTGCTGCATGCTTCAGTCTCTGCTGGATTTTGCACCTGGAAATGGGGTTGAAATATATTTGGTGCAGAACTGGGGGATTTCAAACCTGTCTAAAGAGTTTGCAGACATTAAAAAGGATTTGTACGCCAAGAAGGAGCCCCCTAGCTCATGAGGCAGCCCCAGTTTGCCTTCTGAATATACTCATTTTTCTGCTGTTGAAGACTTTCTGTGAAATTTGAGTTAAAATGTCCCTATCTTCTAGTCATACAGATTTTCTTCACCTCTAAACCCCAAGCCACCATAACACTCTTTTCAAAGTCTCTTTTGTTCTTCCCACCCCTTATAGCTACCTGGGGGATTTCAAGATGGGATCGTGGAGCGTCATTAAATCCACCGTAATTACCTTCAGTCATCTGTATCTTCTCTCCTTATTTGCCTTTGGGATTTCACTACTTTAAAAATGTTTTCTCTGTTGCTGAACAATTAAACATAATCCTAACCTTATACTCATATTAGCTGTAATTGATATGGTTTGGGCATTTGATACTAAGGTATGTCATTTTAAGCAATTAAATTAACATCTCAAAGTCAAAAACAAAGGTAATTCCAATGATTGCTATAGACATTTTAAGAAAATATTTTCCAAGAGAAAAGGAATATCAAAATATAACCATTTTTCTTTTGCTAAGAATGTATTACATTTGTTTTGGGTACAGATAAAAGGCATTTTAGGTGTAGATTAAAATCTGCGATGTGGACATGGAGTCAGAAAAAGGGCTTTACTTGCACTGGAGAAGACCTCCCCTCATGCACAGCCGTCACTGGCTTGGAGCTGAGCTGCTCGGGGTCCATGAGCTGTGCACCCAAGTGAGCCTCTGCCGTCCAGCTCTGTCCGGAAGGACCGCTGTCTGCCGTTGCCTCCTGCTTCCTGGTCATGCTGGGGGAGACAGGGGCAGCCTCACAAAAAATCCGCTCTATCTGAGGGAGGAATCATTCTTTCCAATGGCATTGTGCCTAGTGCCCCCAGACTGTGATCTGTTGCTGTCCAAGAACGAAGACAACTTTCCCTTTCGGAAGCTGTTCTCAGCTGCTCCCTCATTTCACAGGCTGCTTTCCCGTTCTGACCTCTTCAGCTGGCCTCTCTGCCCCATACGTGACTTGCCACGTCCCTGAAGGACAAGTGCATGAATTTTATTCTGGAGCAAGCTGCGGAGTCATCAGTCACCTTTGCAGCCCTGTGGACAATGGCTGTTGGACAGTACGATGAAAAGTAAGTTTGAAATTAAATCTAAAAAGAAAAATAATAATTTTAAAATAATTAATTAATTAATTAATTAAAAAGCCAGGCATAGTGGCTCACATCTGTAATCCCAGCACTTTGGGCAGCTGAGGCAGGAGGATCACTTGAGCCAAGGAGTTCAAGACCAGCCTGGGAAACATAGTGAGACTGTCTCTACTTTTAAAAAATACATTAAAAAAACAATTTTAATTTAAAAGTAAGTTGTCACATCTGACAGCAGCCATGCCTGGGACATTGCTCCAAAGGCAATGTTAGCAGGGACTCAAATCTGATTTTTGCTGCGGGTTCTTCTCCCTGACACTGGGGAGTATAACTTCAGAGTCGTTCATGGAGTGTTACGAAACTTACCAAAGGATAACGTTCCACAGTTCCTGGCTTTAGCTTAGCAACCAGAGCCGTAGAACATGCTGTTCTGGGCAGAAAAGGGAATAGTGAGTACTGTTGACTGAGCTTTGCATCTTCTCTACACTGTTGAGGACATAATATCTTCATCAGATTCTTAAAAACCCACCACCCTCCAACACACCTCCAGGAAGGAAACCCTGGGAAGCTCTTTCTACCTACGTGCCACCTTTAGAATTTCTCCAGCCCTGTGGTAGAGGTCCTCCCATCCTGGAAATGTCAGAGAGGAAGATTATAGAAGCTGGTCAGGAACTTAGTCAACATTTCCTCCAACCCACTCACTGGGGCTGGTGTCACTAACTTTAACAAGTGACATTAACAAGAGGCTTGTTAATAATAAGCCTCTTGTTAATGTCACTTGTTAAAGTTTTGTGCCTCAGTGTGAGAGCTACTTCTAGTACCATTTTGCTTTAGCCGGGAATGGTTTGTATCAAAACTGTAGACCAGAGTTCATTTTAGAGGACAGAGCTGAGCTGCTAAGCAGAAAGCGACAGGTGGCCCAAACTCACCCTCCTGTTCTAGCTCCTTCTCTGTTGACTTTACCTTTTGAAAACATAGACATGGGCTAGACATGGTGGCACACCTGTAATCCCAGCACTTTGGGAAGCTGAGGCAGGGGGATTGCTTCAGCCAACAAGTTTGAGACCCGCCTGACCGGCATGGTGAAACCCCATCTCTACTAAAAATAAAAAATTAGCCTGGTATGGTGGCATGCACCTGTAACCCCAACTACTCAGGAGGCTGAGGCTGGAGAATTGCTTGAGCCTGGGAGGTGGAG